CACCCATGAGTTTTGGGGGGACACCTCACATCCAAATGATAATATCCAATTATGGCTGATTGTCATTTAAGATAGTCTCTCCCAAAAGGATGGTTGTGAAACTCAATTTCTCATCAGCATGGATTCTGTGTGTTTTCAGTGACTAGGGGAAAGCTTCTGAGTTCAGCTCATGGCACCCTGGGGAATCATAACCCATGTCAGCGGTTGGCATTCCTATTGTCACCAAAGTTTCCCTACACCTCTCCAGGCTGTGGGTACATGGGAACAGAAATTGCTCAGTGGTATTGGCTTGCCCTCACTAGCATATTGCAAGATCAGGTGTTTTGGGGTTCTCTGAGGGATGCCCCCAATCTGCTCATGAGCAAGGCTGAAGGCCCTGCCAGGACCATCTTGGTTGCTGCCCAGGTGGGCGACTCCCCTTGAGGCTGCCACGGCTTGATGGCATTTGCTTCCAGAGATCTTTGTTGACTGATCAGGATTAGAACTTTCCAGGAGGAAAAATGGATTTTCCATTTCAGGAGAATGCCCCCTTCTCTCAAGGTAGAAACGGGGATGTGGTATTCCAGGTCTTGTGTGTGGGTCACAGAACTGGAAATGTCCCCTGCAGTTTCCATGCTGCGGTTGTCCCCAAGTTCAATGAGGGTGTTTTTTAAATAAATTACACTGCCACTTTGCCCTTTAGAAAATTGTCTGCTCATTTATTTTGCTTGGTGCATATCGCAGTCATTACCACAGTGGTTTGCAACCTTTTCGACTTTCCCTGATCCCTCTTTGGCTTTAAAATGCAGCACAAACCCTCCTATTGAGGTTGGAGAGAACTCCTTTCACCACAGTTCCAAGAAGGACTTGTAAAGTGTTAAGATAATTGAAAAAAAATCAATACCACGATATCAGGATACAGCTTTACCGATGCCTTTGGGATGTCAGACCAACAACAATTACATTGATCTTGGGCCTTGTTTTGGCCTTTGAGAAGTTTCAATGGCTTCCAAGCTCTGTGGGTTTCTGTGCCCTGGCTGGTCATGTAAAGGCTCTTTGTGAGGAATCCAGATTCCATTTGCCATTAACTTGAATATACCCTGCTCACCTCAAGCAAGCACAAGGCTGGGGGAGTCTCAGAAAGGAGCTATTCAGCCGGGGTTGTGTGTTTTAGCAGTCTCGGCTGCCAAGCCAACGACAGTATTTGCTTACTTGGGCAGCTCAGTGCCTACAGGCCCTGTTTGTGTAAGAGGGGTGGCAGGGAGAAAATTCAGCTCAATGTTTTTCAATTAAAAAGAATTTTTTTTGTTGTTGTTTAAAGAAGAAACCTACCTTGAAACTGAGGTCTTTTCAACCTTATTTGTTTTCTGTGTGGATGGTGATTTAAATAGACCATTTCTCCTCAGTTAAGCCTTCTGATGGATGTAGAAGTGGATCTCAGGAGCATCATGTCTGCATCCCTGGCCATGGGAACAGCTTTGCAGTAGTCAGTGGTGTGTAAAAAGCAACATCTTGCAAGGCCAAGAGAAGTGACAGGGCATCTTGGAGAGATAGTTCTTGGCTTTCGTACATAAAGCTTTCAAGCAAAACAGAGATTGACTACCGAGCAAGGAGGCCAACAAGCAGCCCACGTTGGTTTTCCAAACTTGGGCCCTGTGGACATGCATTCGTTGAGATTAAAGTTGGCTTGATGCTTCAAGGAACTTCAAAAAACGTACTAACTGTAGGTGCTCAGGTAGAAGATATGGGCGCTCCTGCCCTATCAGCCACATCAACCTGGATTACCAGGGGGCTGAGTTGTGGGGTTGGTCCCTGAGTTGAGGGAAGTTTCCTTCTGTTTTATCTCCCAAACTGTTCACAAACTTCCAAATAAAGATCATTCTGCAGAAGGGTGGAATATAAGGGTGATCTGGTCTCCTTTCCTGCTCCTGTCCCTTATTCCTACTGTCTCCCTGGCCTGGAGTTCATGAGTTAATCCAGTTTCCTTCCAAAAATGCCCCCTCTGCTTGAGCTCCTATGAATTGAGTTCTGCTACTTGCCACCGAGAGAACCTGAAGTAACAGCTTTCCACGGCCTGGCCCCTGCCTGAGTCTCCAGCTTTGCTTCCTGGTGCCCTGGCCTTGGCTTTCATGCTGTCAGTCTTGCAAGGTGCCATGCTACTTCACGCCCCCTAGCCTTTGCTTCCACCACCCCTCTACTGAGACGCCTTTTCCATTTTTCCTCGCCTGAATGAACTGGGATCTTTCAAGAAAACCCAGCTCAGGAAGCCTTCGCAAGCTTGCCCGTTACCTGTCACCTTGGTGAGCTGCTCTCCGCGTTCCCATCTCTCAAGCTAGTCTGTAAGCTCAGGCAGGGATCAGGCCTCATTCATCTTTGTATCGTAGTGCTTGGCACACAGTAGGCACTTACTAATTTTGGTTAAACAAAGCCCAGCAAAGGAACAGCCAACAAGGATTTCCATTTCTGCAGTAGAAATGAGAGCAGGAGAGAAACAGAGTGGAAAGAGGATTCTGACCTTAGAAAGACGGTGATGGTAACATACTCTACGAAACCTGAGGAGGACAGCGGAGGGAGTGCATTGTGAATGGGACCTAAGTTCCCTTCTCCTCCGGCCACCACATCCTGCTTCTCTCTTCTTATTTTATCTTTGCCTCTCATACTACCGTTGCCATTGCACTGGGGGTTGCCCACTATCAGGTGACCTAAATTCAAAGTTTCCATTGTCTGGATTCCAAGTCCTTGATAAAGTGTGTGGCTTGTATCCTTTAGTGAGAAGGGACCAAAGAAGTCTCTGGAGAATAAATAGGTCAAAATCCTGTAGCCAGAGAACTTAATCTGTCTGAGCAAGTCAGAGAAGGGTCCACAGAGGCAGTACCATTTGCACTGAGACTTGGAGAATGAGTAGGAGTGTATCAAGATGACAGGAGAGCCTGCTGTGTACCGGAAACTACAGGGACTGTGGACTAGAGATTAAAATCACCCTTAAGTGAGACATGGTGTCTGTGCAGGCAGTCAGGGCCAATCAGGGGGAGAGTGGAGTTTACCCTGGACATTTCACAGTCTCTGTTCACTTTGTACATTTAACGTACCCTCAGGATGTATATGTTAAGTTGTCAAACTTTCTAGAGAACTCCCTGGGCAGCCCCTTTGGTTATTTTCCGTGCCACCCCTTTAAGAAGCAAAGTGGGTGAGAGTACAGACCCTGGAGAAAGATTGCCTATGCGAACTTTTCAGATCTTCCTTGTGCCAACTTTATGACCTCGAGCAAGTTCCTTGACCTCTCCAGGCCTCAGATGTATGATCTATAAGATGTGAATAGAGTTTCTCAGCAAATCATAGGGGTGAGTTAGCACGTGTGAAGCCTTAGAACAGTGCCCAACCTGTGGCAAACACTTACTTCGTAACTACAATTTTATTTCTTATGAGGTCGTTTGCAGTTGCCCTTCATGCATTTGGTGTATAAGCCCATGACGATGAGATGGCTTTAATTCTTCATTGTGGTTTCCTGCCGGGCTATGAATTCCTCAAAGGCATTGGTTGAATAAATACCTTTTTCCAAAGCAATTGATTTCGTGCTTTCAGTTTTTATATGTATATACTGTAATCTAAGGGGAGCTCTTCTCTTAGTATTTTGACTAGAAAACAACATTGTTCTTTGGAAATTCTTCCTTGAGGCTGAAACATCCTTGGACACAGGAAGATTTCTGTAAACCCATGCAGGCCCCCGAGGCAGCTGCCGGGAAAGTTATCTTATGAAGGTGCTGTCCTGTTCAAAAGGATTAAAAAGCCCAAGAAAACAAGAAATATCTGGACCTTGTCATTTTGGCCAGACATTTTTAGCAGAGCCTTATCGCAAACCTTTGAGACTTGCAGGCATGGTGGCACACACCTACCTGTAATCCCAGTGACTCGGGAGGCTGAGGCAGGAGGATCACCAAGTTCCAGGACAGCTTTGGCAACTAAGTGATTTAAACTTTGGAAACTAAGTGATTTAAAAATAAAAAGGGCAAGGGATATGACTCAGTAGTAAAAGATCCCTGGGTTCAGTCTCCAATACCCCAAGCAAACATTGAGCCTTAGTAAAAAAAACAAACAACAAAAAAAGCTTTTTTTCCAAAGACCCTAATTCCTGAAAAAAAATCAAGTCTAGTGGAGTTTTAGACATCGCATATACCCAGACACTGGGTGAGCCCTTTTTAGGATTCTTTTGAATGTCTCCCCATTGTACATGTATCTCACATCTTGACAGGTATGTTCTTGGCAGAACATGGAAGTAAAAAGGAAAGTTGAACCAGATTTCTCCCAGCTTATTGTAATGCAAAAACATCAATAATAACATCTAGCTCTCAGCCCTCTGCGGTGGCACATGCCTATAATACCAGCAGCTCCGGAGGCTGAGGCAGGAGGATCTTGAGTTCAAAGCCAGCCTCAGCAAAAGCGAGGCACTAAGCAACTCAGTGAGACCCTGTCTGTAAATAAAATACAAAATAGGACTGGGGATGTGGCTAAGTGGTTGAGTGCCCCTGGGTTTAATCTCTGGTACCAAAAAAAAAAAATTTAAAAATTTAGCTATCATTGAAAAATCCAGGACAACTGCTAAACTAGATGGATCCCTTAGGACAACAGGCATGGAAACTTGTAGGAAATGACTGTAACACTGATCCCTCAGAGGTAGTGCAGTGGTTCTCAACCCTCGCAACCTTTAAGAGTCACTGGGGAGCTCTTAAAATATGCCAATACTTGGATTCCAGTTCTTCCCAGAGACTCGGATTTCACTGGTATTAAGATGGAACCTGAGAATCGGGATTTGGGTAGCACCACTTTCAAGCAAGATCTACTTGTTCCTCAAGGGCCAGTGTTCCAAAAGCAGCGTGATGCAGGCATTCAGACAACAGGAACAGCAGGGTCCCTGCCACATTCTCCAGTGGGTATGTTGTTACCTTGGGCTGGAAGAGTGGAGGGTGGCCCCCACCACAGACCTCCCACCCCATGACACGTGACACAGTGAGAAAGAGCGCATGTGATCCTTTTAAACATTTAATTAAGCAACTCCTACACTGTCATGACAAAATGAAACTTGTTGAGGGTTACAGAGTTCTATGAGAAATAAAAATAAAAAAATGCTCACAAAAGCTCCATTTAAGCCTGTCAATAAGTGCTGCACTCTCTTCTGAGCATGGATTTTGAAAACAACTGTCAAAATGTAAATCCTCAGCACCCTAAAAATGACATATTTTTTTGATTCAATCTGTAAGTCGATGATCATATTTCCAGTGCCAAGTTTTGACATATGAGAACTGCAATGGCAAAGAACAGAAATGCATCTTGTTTGCCCAAGCCCTCCCTAAGACTCGCCCACCCTGTGGGTGCCCCAGAAAGCACCGTCCAAAGAGCCAGTCAGTAGGGCAGCATTTGCTATGCTTTGCTGCTCTGAATTCAGTTCCGCGGCTGGGCATTGAACTCTGTACAAATGTTCTGGATGATCCTGGGGACGGATTTGTACAGGTTGTCAAACTCATCCACAAAGAAGGAGTGGTCTCTGGCAGGGTGAGTGGCAATGACCTCCAGCTCGTCCTGTGCAGCCCATGCAACCCCTATTGCATAGGTGATCACTCCTGTGGGGACAAAGATCAGGTGAAACGAATGCCCCTAAGAAAAAAGTGTTGCTGATGAATCTTTGCTTTTCTGCTGCCCTGTCAGCACAACCCAACCCCAAATCAGAAATGTGCCAAGCAAAAGAAAAAACTCCCATGGAACTCTAGGTTCTAGAATTAAGACCAGGTATGGCCATTCATTCATTCATTCATTCATTCATTCAAGAAATACTTTTGAACATCCACTTCAGAGAGGAGGTAACACTCTTTAGTGGGGAAAGTGGGGAGACTGCCTGCTATGATAGTTCTTGATTTGGTTGGGGGCAGCTGGATGTCAGGCACTTGACCTTACTCTACAAAATCCTATTCGTATACCACCTTCAGGTTAACCAGGGTGGATGCACAGGATGGCCAGGAAACAGAGGGCAGAAGCTGGGGTGGTCTTCCTGCCCAGGCACCTGCCCTGCAGCCCCCTTTCTGCCAGTGGCCCGTCTCATCTTCTAGGTGTCCCGTCCTGCTTATTAGGAGCTATCAATGCTTCACATAGCTCTGGTCTAATATGCTTTCAGTTGTCCATCATGCTGCATATAAGCTGCCAGTCCCTTTTCTCTCCTCTCCAGCTTCTTTTCTCTGAATATTGTCTCGATTAGGGGAAGCCAGCCTTGGGTTTTAAAATGCTGGCCAAGTGGCCATGGGAACTGAGCTTAGACTGAGCAAGCCCATGCTTCTGCTCAAAGAAAGAAAGAAAGAATATCCCCCGATAAAGACTACAGAGCAGCATGCAACTTTTCAGATCCTTGAGACCACCCTTGCATAGAAACCTTCTACTGTCAATTCTGACAGATGGTCGTTAACTCTGGACTTGGATGATCCTAGGAACACAATGCTCATTGCATTTTTAGATGAATCATAGTGTGTTTGGCTGAACAGGAACCCGCCTCCATGTAATTTGTATCTATTGGTCCCAGTTCTTTAAAGCTTCCCAGAATATGATCTCCTGAGAGCTCCCATTTCCAAGTCTTCTCATTCCCTCACTTCCTGGGAGAGGCCCAAAGAAGGTACCTAGAGAAATAAGTGAGGGTGGAACTGAACGTGAGCTTGGACAGATGTGCTAGAAAAAGCCCTGGGCTGATGAGCCAAGAGCTGGCCCATCTGCCACTCACTCTGGGATTTGGAACAGGTAGCTTATGACCCTTGAACCAACTCTGCTGACGTGAGACCAAGGGAATTTGTGACCACTGGCACAAAGAGCATCACCATCTCACCATTGTGAAGGTGCCCCAGACTCTGCAAAAGGCAAGTCCCTGAGAAGACTTTGCCTGAATGCATTGTCTAGATACTTTGGTTTCTGGAAGCCAGCACCACCCCTTCATTAAGAATTGTCTTAGGAAGGATTTAAAGCAGCTCTCAAGAATACAAAAAATCCTGACAAAATAACCCATATTAAAAGTATGCCCAGAAAAGGGAAAAATAATTGACCACTGCATTGAGTGAGTTTTGTACCCTAGCACTTAGAGGTCTCCAGTTCCACTGACTACTCCATTCAGTTTTATCATTATTATTGTTACTATTTTTCTTTTTTTTTTTTAGTTGTAGATGGCTACAATACTTTATATTTATTTATTTTTACGTGGTGCTAAGGATCAAACCCAATGCCTCACACTTGTTAGGCAAGAGCTCTACCACTGAGCTACAACCCCAGCCCATTTATTATTACTATTATTATTATCATTTTGGGTTTCTTCAGGCTGTTTTATTTTCATGCTATTTTATGGCACTTTTTAGAACAGTTTTATATACATATTTAAAATTAATTCATAAATGTGACTTATTTTCTAAACACTCAAGTACTTTGTTCATTTTGTGTGTTTTTTTAAAATAATTATTTCTTCATTTTAGGTGGACACAATATCTTTACTTCATTTTTTTTTTTTTTTATGTAGTGCTAAGGATCAAACCCAGTGCCCCACGCAAGCACACTACCACTTGAGCCACATCCCCAGCCCTCATTTTTTGTGTTTTGAGCCTTCTCTCGATAACTTAGAAATTTTTATATGGAAATATCTCTTTTAAATATTCTGAATCAAAATTTCTTTGGGTTTCCCCCCCCAAACCCTCAATATCTAATTTACAAACATAGCACGACTTCCTTAAAGAACACTATTAGGCTTTAAAAGGTACTAAAGACAAATTGGTGTCTTCAACACAGCTAGGGGTTTGTTTTTCTTTCATAGAAAGTGACAATAGAATTTCCTTTTAGTGTCTCAAGCCTTGGAGGGAAAAGTCTCAGAATGTAGAAGGTCAAGGAAAGGGTCCCCCTTTTCAAAGACACTGGGGGAGCCTCTGGCTGCCCTTCCTCCTTCCCTCTTTGCTACTCAGACACCTGCAGTATTTGCTCCTCTAATGGCCTTGAACATTTTTGAGAGTCACAGACAAAACCAATGCACAGAAAAGCAGAGCCTTCTTTGCCCTCCAAGGACAGCCTCTCCCGGCCCTAAGAAGCCTCAGCAGTTGGCTGAGCCAGGTTCCCCCTACCCTTCTGATGGGCGGCCATGGCTGGTATCCGCACGTCGTCGTAGGACCTGCCGTCGGTGATGAGGATCATCAGCTTCCTCTTGTTGGGCTTGGACTTCTTGAAGAGCTGCTCCAGGGCATAGTGGATGGCAGCGCCGGTGCTGGTGCCACCACTCCAGTACCCCACCCTCTTGATGGCGTTGAGGATGTCGGGCTTGGTGCTGTACTTGTCAAACCCAAACTCCAGCCGCTGCTCGTAGGTGTACTGCACGGCCCCGATGCGTGTGTCTGTGTCTGAAATCTCAAACTCTTTGCTGATGTTGGCCACAAACTGCAGGACCGTGCGGAAGTTGCCTGTCCCCACGCTGCTGGAGCCGTCAATGACGAAGCCGATGTCGGCTGAGTTTAAGCAGGTCTTGCTGCAGGCCAGGCGGTCGGTGTCACAGACCCGCTTCACCAGGGGCTGCATGGTCTTGGAGAGGCCCAACCAGCTCTGCACGTTGAACGAGTAGAAGCCATTGGTTCTGCACACAGCCTGGAGGACAGAGGGGAGGGACACTCACCAGGTCAGGGGTCAAGTCCCCCAACCTGGCACCCTTACCTTGGGCCTCCAGTTGGGTGAAGAAGCAAACAGACTCCTGTTTGCTGCGCTCATCCTTGTTGATGGCTCTCTCCCTTTCTGTTCCCCTGTCTGGGCACTTGCTGAGGCAAAGACCTCTCCCGTAATCTCTGAACTCACTCCTGTCTCCGCGGCTGCCAGTGCCTCAGTGGGAAGCCCTTGTGCTCGGCGAATGCACAGGGAGATGGAAGTCACTGATTTCTGCTTCAGATTTCTGCCTCTTCAGCTCAATTCATTTGTACTGGCAGCCAGCCATGACTGGCATTGGTGGGCACCAACGCATGAGAGAATTAAAGACAGCTTTTGTTCTCCTGGGGAAAACAGAGCACACCTAAGAAGTGACTGAGGAATGTTTCCAGAGCAGCCTGCACCCACTGGGAAGGGGCCCCAGAGTTGCTGAGTAGCCTCATGGGTCAGGGTGGCTCTAGGTGCTCTTGGAGAGATTCTCTCATTCAATCCTCACCTCACCCTACCCGGGGAACGATGACCCCCCATTGTTAGAGAACAAACTGAGGTCCCACTACAAGGGACATCCCTGAGTTCCCCACACTAGACTGCCTCGCTGTCCGCCTTCAAAACCCAAGCTCTGCCCTCCAGACAACCTTGCCTCTAGGCAAACGAATATTTATTTACTTGTGCCCAAGCTTGTTCCAGAAAAAATTCAAGTCAGCTACAAATAAACATTGAGCAAACTCCTTGGTGTGTTCCTGGAAGTGACTGGGCTAGTGTTCCTAAGGTGGGGCATTTCTTCCTGTCCCTTCCTTTGTGGGTCACAGAGCATGTCTGACCTCATGACTATGGATGAATCTGTACAATTAAAAAATTATTTTGAAACAAGTAATGACTTTAATCCTTCCCAGGAAATACATCTTTTTCTTGATTTGTAAAACCCTAAAGCAGGTTGCAAAACTTTGCATGGACGAGGCGGCACAAGAGGCTGAGTGCTGGTAGGAAGCTGATCCTATGGAGGGAGAGGATCCCCATCAGACAGCCTGTGGGAGATTCCAGCAGCAGAGAGTGGTGGTGCTGGCCAGGGACAGGTGGCCATTGGCTGGAGCACAGAGTCTGTGTGGTGTCACAGCAGCAGGGCCAGGAAGTGGGGTGGACAATGCTTTAGAAGGCTTCAGGAACAATGAGGGACAGTGAAGGATTTGGAGCAAAAGCCCCATAGTTGGAAGAACTTTTTATAAGCATGAGTTGGGCTTCACTGTGAAATCTCTACAAGGGAGACCCAGGAGAAAGACAAGCAAGATGTTAAATATTGACTTGAAGTGGGGAGATGTCACTGGGCAAGACAAAGAACAGAGAGATGGGGGATGCAATTTGGGAGCTGATGAGGAATTCTGGGATGGACGGGGCTGTTCATGCAAAGTCCTGAGAAGGAAACAGTTTGGGTGGGAAAGATGATGATGAACTTGGCTTGCTGCAGGTAGGATTTCAGGTTCTGACAGGGCTTCCGAAAAGAGAAAGGTCTCCAGGTGTGATGGCACATGCCTATAATCACAATGACTTGGGAGGCTGAGGCAGGAACAACAGCAACAGACTGTCTAAAAATAAAAAGGGCAGGGATGTAGCTCAGTGGTAGAGCACCCCAGGGCTCAATCCTTAGTATGGGGGTGCCGGCAGAGTCTTTCATCTGGACAGAGAAGATTCAAGAGATGAGGACTGATGCTGTGGCCCTGGGGAGACTGGAGGGAGAGAATCTTGTGAGAGAAGATGGAGGAACAGGGTCTAAGTCCTGAAAAGGCCCGTGTTCAAGGTACATGATGGAAAAAAGGAAAAGAGCAAGTGAAATAGCAGCTGCACAGGGCCAGGAAGTCAAGGAAGAGAATTTCATGGAGCAAGAAGAAGTCAGCAGCCTGCTCTGCTGCAGGAGGTCCGGCCCTATTAGCTCCAAAAACATATAATAATAAAGTTGGAGGAGCATCAAGGACAAGGTTTTGCCAGGCGTGGTGGCACAGGCCTGAGATCCCAGCAACTCCGGAGCCTGAGGCAGGGATCCCAAGTCCAAGGTCAGCTTCTGCAACTTAGCAAGATCCTGTCTCAAATAAATAAATGAAAAGATCTTTTTATTTTCGTACCCCAGTACGAAAAAATAAAATAAAAAAATCAAAGACAAGCTGTCCAAGCTGGCTGGCTCTGTTCCTCCCTCCTTCCTTCCTTTCTTCTCTCCTTCTCTGTCCTTCAGTTGAATCTTTGCCTTTGAAGGAAGGTTTATGTAGACAGCCACTGGAAAACACCGAAGGTGGTGTAGTAGACTGGGAACGGGAGGCCTACTATCCCATGTGTCCTGCCTCATCTCTAGCCAGACATCTCCGCAGAACCCAGAAGTAGCATTGGAAACATGACCTGCCTGAAATGTCGCAACACCTCCCTTGGGAGGAGCAAGGAAGAGCCTCCACATGAGACCTTTGGAATACTGCTCCTGCCTTCTGTTCCCAAGCTGCTGGCCTTGGGGTGGGTGTGGGAGTTTTCTTTGAGAGGGTAATTTGAGGTTTCCTCATTGGAGACACTACTACCTAGATGTGAGCTTCACACACATTTGAAAGCCCAAGAAAACAGTCTTCCTGGAATTTCAGCTTGTCAGAGTACAGGGGAGCTTGACGGTGGGTGAGCGTCTGGCAAATTACAAACCTTGTTGGCAAAGTTGGGCTCCATCACATACTGCTTCTCATTTTCCGCAGCAGCTTCCACAGTGATGAAGAAAATGTTGATTCCAGATTCTCTTGCAAGCCTTGAAGCCTCCTCCACTTTGTCTGTGGGCCAACCATCCACCATCACTACGGCCACATTGGGAGCACCACCTCTGTTTCCATTGGCTTTGGAAAAGAAGGTCTTGGTCACAAAGGAGATGGCCCGGCCTGGAAGAAAAAGAGACTCATGCTTGAAGGGATCATGCCAGTGATAAATTCAGGAACAGATCACAACAGCACAAAGAGGTCCAGAAAAACACACTCATTCCCTCCCAGTTTGACTGTTCTATTTTTTGAACCACTTTACTTTCAGGTGTACAATTCAGCGGCATTTGTGGGTGTACAGTTTAGTGGCACTGGGGCATATTCACAATGCCATGCAGTTGTCACATTGTTCCCTTAGTTTCATTTTAAGCCTTTAATTTCTAATTGCTTCCTGCTTTGAAAAAAGTTATAGGGACCAGCAAGTAGCAGGGAAAGACTTTTATAAAAATAAAGGGCCTCTTATCTGCCTGGGTACTAGACTCACTCTAAGTCTCTAAGCTGCCCCACGTTGTGTCCTAGAGCACAGGATCAGAGGAGTTGAACTGGAGTGACAGTAGCTTTCTCTGGGCTTCCTAAAGCCGGGCAAGCCCAGTGTTCCAGGAGCTGCTGGGCCTGCAGGGCTGTATTCTGTGGTCAGCGGTCTTTCCTCCGGTTCCAAGCCAGGAGCCCAAGTCTGGCTGTCCAGGGAAGAGCTATATCCACCAGGAACTGAGAGACTGTGTTCTAGCCCTGGCTGTGCCAACACTGGCTGTGTGGCCCTGGGTGGTCCCTCATGGTCTCTGGGTCTAGACTTCCAGGCCAATGATCTGCTTCAGCTGAGTGCAACAATCATGGGGCTTTGTGAAACCTCGAGATGCCTTTCTCCCATGTGCAGGGTCTCAGGACATTTTCAGAGTCAACTCGATGACAAACTATCCTACTTTTCCAGCAATTTCCCAGTCTCAGTGCTAAAAGCCCAGGTTCCCCTGGGCAAATTGGGATGACAAGGCTCCCTTGCTGTGTTGTGTGGAACCAGTGTGTGTGTGTATGTGTGTGTGAGAGAGATGTGTGTGTATACCCATGCATCCTCTGAAATTATACACAGGATCTTGTGTATGAGTACTATCTGGGTAGCAAGGACATACGTATTCTTTTTGGAGATTCTCAAATGAGTCCCTGATAACAGCTAACAACCACCTTCTTTAGGTGAATATTATTACACTCAATGCTCCTCTGGTTTGGGCAGTATAATATTACCTGTCAAATGAAAGCATCAAATGGTTGCATACAAAGTCCTGGAGAAGTGTCTTAGCGAACCCATGTGAACTGTCTGCACAGAACCTGGTTGCTAAGGGAAAACTATGGCTGCTGAAAACTGCTTCCATGGCCAAGGGATAATTTCCATCAAGTCCCAAAGCACCCAGAAGTCCTTTCTGGCTTAATATTAGGTACCATAAGGGAGCCAAAAGATCACTTTGACCCCACCTAATCTTGAGTCTAGTTGAGCCCACAGTGAACCAGTGCTTGATGCACATTTCATCTACCTTGCAGTGGATTTTTATTGTTGTTGTTGTTGATTTCTTTTCTTTTCTTTCTTTCTTCTTCTTGTTTTTTTTTTTTTTTTTTTTAGTACTAGGGATTGAACTCAGGAGCCCTTAACCACTGAGTCATATCCTGAGCCATTTTTTTTTTAAATATTTTGTTTAGAGACAGGTTCTCACCGAATTGCTTAGGGCTTTGTTAAATTGCTGAGGCTGGCTTTGAACTTGCAATCCTCCTGCCTCAGCCTCCAGAGCTGCTGGATTACAGGCGTGCTCCACTGTGCGGGGCTTGTAGTGGGTCTTGAAACCAGATGCTGGATGTCTGAAAACTACATTGTCCGTACTCTCTTGCATCTAGATTTTCAGCTCTGTTTTACTTTCACAAATTGATGCATTTACATGAGATTTAGAAGATGACAGCAGGCAGGGGCTATGCTTTCCTTTCAGCAGTTTCTGCTGATTAGAATCTGTAGAGTATTTGACTTCTCTTGGAGCACCGTTGACAGACATGTTTGTGTTGGTTGCTAGCTTCGACGGTGTTAGGAGACAGGGTGCAGGATAGCCCGTTTGTGGGTAAGAATGGGTCAGGGAGGACTTGGTTCTGGAGTTGGCAGCTGCAGAAGAAGGTTTCTAATTGTGGGCTTCCTGCTGAAGCAGGTTCCTGAAGAGGCTGTGGTGGCCGAATTCAGAACGTTGTTTCTAGATCTTGGAAGAGGTAGCAGCTCCTTTGGAAGCCCCGTTTCCAAAAGAAGCTTCCAAAGTCTGCTTCTTCAGTCCTTTCTATAATTCTCATAATGTTTCATGCTCTGAAATAAATCACTTTATACCTGAACCAGCTGGTTGGATTCTGTCCTCTGAACCCAAACCCTGAACCAGAGGCAGAGTTCAAACCTGTCCTACACTGAAAAAGGTAGACTGATTAGGTTCAAACACCTTTCGGAAGTTAGTTGTCTTCTGAAGTTTTTCTCCAGTAAAATTTTGCTAATGGGAGGATTAAGTGGAGAACAAGTCAGAAATCAACTTATCATGTTTGTAAGGAAGATGCTTTGGAATTTGGGGGATGGAGAGCAGCAGCTTGGTCAGTGTTTATTTAACATTGTTCAAAAGTGAAAGGCTCTGCATTTGCTTCTTTCTTATGTTTGGTGGCTACAAAATGTTCTCTGAGGGTTGGGGGAGGGAAATAATTAATCAGATTTATTGTAACTCCCTCAAGGATAGGATAGTTCTACACCCTGCACGTAGATTCTCCATGCCAAGCAAATGCGGCCCACATCTCCAGTCCTTTGGATTTTGATGGTATGAACAGGTTCCCTGAGAAGCATATAATCATCCCCCCTTGTGTCCCCCAAAGTCAAGCTACCATTTATACATTAATAGCACATTGGCACGGGTTCTTTGTCAGCCTGAGCATGGTTCGTGTGAAAATGTGAAACTGTTGTTTCCTAATGCCCCGTCACCTCTGGGTGAAATGATAAAATGGAGTTTCTGAACCTGCTCCAATGAAGATTAGATCTTGAACTTCTGGTTCCCCCTCCAAAGGCTCAAACATCACAAAAGATTCATCTTGAAACAGAGGTCAAGACTCTTGTTTGCAAAGTCATTGCTGCAACAGTCGCTGATTGGAACAAGACTCCCAAGGAGCACTGAGCTGCTTCCTGATGGAATTGGTGGTGGAATTTAATGTTCAATCTTGGCAACTTGGAGGCCAACCAGGAAATAGTCACAACAGCAGTCCTGCTTGTCCTGAAGAATGTTGGCATGCCGAGGAACCAAGCAAGCTGGAACTAGATGACACATATGTTTTGACAATTCTTGCCACCTGAACTCATTATAATACTTTAGAAAAGATTCAGATGTTACATTGAGTCATATCTTGATGGATTCCTTTTTTTTCCCTCCTTCAATATAGAATGTTAGAAGACAACCACGTAGAAAGAGAACCATGGTAACAAGATAGAATTATCTGAAGCGGGGTCACATACCTACATTAGAAAGCCCTCCTCTCTGGGTAATTTTCTCAATAGCTGTCTTCAGGTCTCGAGAATTCATGTGAGTTTTGAGGTTAAACTGGGTAGCAGGGTTGTCACTGAAGAGGTAGAACAAAAAAAATAAAAATTAGCTCAAAAGTTATTACTGTCAAGAAAGGTAGAAATAACAGTTAATTCTTTTACATACAAAGAGAAGCTGCTTCAAAGCCTTAAACTGTGGTTCATAAAATGTTCCACTGTGGGCAGAGTGATGGGAAGACAGGAGACGGGGATCCTTCACAGGGCATGGAGAGAGACAGGCTATTTCAGAACTGTGACCCACTGTATGGTGTGCAGTCCGTGTAGTCAGACGGGGGTTGGTTTACTGCTTTGCTACCACCACCTTGGGATTCTTAACAATTTTGGAAAGGAGACCTGCATATTATGAGGCTATTTTGGGCTATAGGTTACTAAGTCCTCAAGTGGGGGCATGGAGACTTTGTTTTTTTGTTTTGTTTTGTTTTGTTTTGTTTTGTTTTTTTACTTTGATGGTACTGGGGATTGAACTCAGGGCCTCCTGCATGCTAGGCAAGAGCTTTACCACTGAGCTACACTCCCAACCCTGGAGGAGACCTTCAAAGCATCTTTTCCAAGATCCCCAGAAGTAGATCAATGAGAAGTTGCTTTGGGCAGCAGCTTCAAATGGGAACCCCAAGGTGGCTGACAGTGGATCCCTATTGAGTTCTTGGGGATAGACAATGCAGTCACCAGGGAACCAGGTCACCAGGATCTAAGAGAGAGGAGACATTCTCTGCTTCTTTCCCACCCTTCCTTCTGCCCTCTTTTCTAATCTTCTTAGGTTTCTCAAGGTGATCTGAGTTATTTCCATAAGCTGTGCTAATCCAAATGGCAGGTGATGTAAAGCTGGGGTGGGGAGATAGGAAGCCACTTTCAGGGAAGACAGGAAATTTAAAACAAGTTCAACCAAGGTAGGGCCTTGGGGCAACTCCCCACCAGATGAGAACTAAGTCCCGTGGTGAGGATTAAATGAAAACAGGTAAAAACAGCAAAGCAATCAGGAAATGGGGAATTTTGAACCTCTGAACTGAGCATCAAGTGTCCTTATCTGAGGATGAAGTCATACACTTACACTCTTATAAAGCAATCCAGTGATGGCTGGAGGCTCAAACCTTTCTCCTTTTTAATATTTATTTTTTAGTTGTAGTTGGACACAATACCTTTATTCTATTTAATTATTTTTATGTGGTGCTGAGGATCGAACCCAAGACCTTGCACATGCTAGGCGAATGCTCTACGGCTGAGCCACAACCCCAGTCCTCAAACCATTTCTTTATAGTAACAAAACCCAGACTAATGTACTCTCATTGTTTGGCTTCTTATTTTGGCTTTCAAAGCCTCCATGATTTGGTTCTAACTTATGGTGATACTCCTCTCTCTCTCTCTCTTTTTCTCTCTCTCTCCTCTCTTCTCCTTTTCTAGGATATCCTATATTCTAGTCAAAATGCCAAAATGAACTGCTCACTCTTTCCTGTGGTCTATAACACAATGTCTTGGTACTTTGTTTTTGTTTTGTTTCGTGGTACTGGGGATGGCACCTATGGGGGCTTTGCCACTGAGGCTGGCTTTGAACTTGTGATCCTCCTGCTTCAGCCTCCTGAGGGGCTGAGATTACAGGCATGCATCATTACACCCAGCGAGTCTTGTTATTCCTTGTGGTCATGTTTTTCAGTCACCACAAGCACTGGCTTGTAGGGGACAGTGACGTGTTCCCTAAAGGAAACATAGGGATCCGTTCCTGTGTACCTCTGGTCATAGCAGTATCATCAACAGATCATCACATTACCTATTTTACATGTGTTTGTCTTTGAAGATACTGAAAGTTAATATTTCTTAAAAATTAATGATATCTATTTTTTTTTTATAATACAACATTAACTGAGAAGGGTTTAATAGTTTTCTTGACCTTGGATAATGTGACTCTAAATGTCTTTGGCTTTCAGCCTCATAACAGTGCTGTCCATTAGACTTTGTTTGGTGATTCGCTTTTTAGTCAGTTGTCACTCATGAATTTCTGAGTTTGGTCTCTTTTCCATCTTTTCCACAGCTTCGCCACACACCGTAGATGTTACTTAAGCACTTTCTGAAGCACACTCACAAACCAATCAGCAAATCTCCTCTCCTATTGCTGAATGTACCAAATTATCAATTAACACTGAGCTCACAAGCAATGGCGCTACACCTCATGCCTGAGAGAAGCTCATCTAACTTTTGTGATTTTCTCTGGAAGCCACAGCACAGCCTTCTTGTGCTCACAACGCTAGACGCCATTTCAACACTACATTTGAAGGGCATGAGCCACTGTGTCCGGCTTGAGGGGCATTTTAAATAGTAAAGTCATGAAAGAAAAACCCCCAAATGCAAAAAAACAAAACAAAACAAAAACAAACAACAACAAAAAAAAACCATGGCACTCAAGTGGAGTGAGGGAAGGAAGGAAAGCTGTAAACTTGTTTGACCATGGCTGGAAATAGGTGAGGCAGGTGACTCAAAAATTTTCCCACCTTTGCACACATGTAGAAAAGACTGTGATAGAGCCTCAACTTGCAAATTTGGTTCAAGTTGAATTTCAGTGAGTGTATCCATTGGCAAATAAGTGGATGCCCAAGTCCTACTTGAGAACAGGTACTTCTCCTGGCTTCTGATCCCTAGTGTTTAGCACGCAAGGCATAATAGGTTAGTGTGGAACACATAAGTGAAAGGGAACTCCAATGTCCTCTGTCTGTCTCTGGCGGTTGAGGGGGGTGGGTAACCAGGGATTGAACACACAGGTGTGCTTAACCACTGAGCCACACCTCCCAGATCCTTTTTTATATTTTATTTAGAGACAGGGTCTTGCTGAGTTGCCTAGAGCCTTGCTATTGCTGAGGCTGGCTTTGAACTTGCAATCCTCCTGCCTCAGCCTCCTGAGCTGCTGGGATTAAAGGTGTGCTCTACCTCGGTGGGCTCAAATGTCCTCTCTTAGCTCATCTGCAGTGCAACTGAATACTCTGCCTCCAAGCTCCATAATGATCACTCTTTCCTTTGATTACATCATGGATGTAGACAAATCCATCCTTAGAGGTGTATAGTTGAGCTATTCATAACCTAATAAATAGGTGCTTTAATTTCATTTAATGCCATTCCCTCTAAAAATGCCCCCCTGCGAGACCATAAAGTCCTAAAGAACAGAATCTCTATCACATTTACTCATTTATTTTAGTGGATTGAAAAGTTGGATCATGAGCTGGGATTGTGGATTGTTTGATCCTCAGCACCACATAAAAATAAATAAGTGAAATAAAGGCATTGTGTCCAACCAAAACTAAAAAATAAATATTAAAAAAAAAAAAGTTGGATCAGGGGACCTCTGAAATCCTTTCCAATTACTAAATTGATGATCATTGCTATTATTAGGGGCAAAACTATGGAGCTTATTCACCAAGAGTCTTACGGGCAGAGGTAATCAAACCAGTTAGATAAATATTATAACAATATTCCCTGCAAACAGCATAGTGCTCAGTACATGGCAAACATTTAATAAATCTTTGTAAAAGTGCACTCTAATTAAATCACAGGAATGAACGATGAATTGTTCATTTGTAGACTATGGAAGCTCTCAGGACCACAGCACATGAATACATGGGTTTATGTGTCCTTCAGAATGTGTACGTGGTGGCCTGTCCTCTTAGCATAGTGTCTTTTCAGATGGAGACAGCTATAGGTTGGGAATGGTTTCTCTCCTAGAAGGTCATGGGCTGGAGGCTTGGTCTCCAGTGTGGCGTTGCTGAGGTGGTAGAATCTTTAAGAGATGGGGCCTGATAGAAAGTAATAGGTCATGGGGGTACCACCCTCCTAAGGTATTAGCACCAGTCTGTGGGACTGGACTGGTTTCCTGTGGGAATGGGTTTGTTATAAGGAATCCATTCTGGTTTCTCCACTGAATTCTTCTATATGATTTTCCATGCATTTCTGCCATTCTCACCTGAGCCTTTGCCATTTTGATACCATGAAATCCTCATCTGAGCTGAGCAGAAGCTGCTGCCATGCTCTCTAACCTCCACTTCAAGCTAAATAAAGCTCTTTTCTCTCTAGAGTACCCAGCCTTATGCATTTTGTCATAGCAACCAAAGATAGAATAAGACAGAAACTACTTTAAAGGTTCAAAGAGGAATACCACTATTTTATGTAAGCAATCTTTGAATTTTATTACAAGCTCTCATGAAAGGAAAACACATTTTCCCTCTCGACAATATTAAAGATTTCCTTTAAAAACATGTGAAGAAAATAAACAGGTTTATAGCTCAGAGAGAAAATGGAAAATTGTCCTATGTTTGGAAGGAGAACTGGGGTTAATGAAGAGAAGTTAAAGGGAGCCAGAAGTTGGCCATAGACAGAAAGGGACCATTTGTGCAATAAGAAATGGCAACCTGGTGCAAAGTGCAGTGGCACACGCCTGTAATCCCAGCACCTCAGGAGGCTGAGGCAGGAGGATTGCGAGTTCAAAACCAGCCTCAGTAACAGTGAGGTGCTATGCAACTCAGTGAGACCCTGTCTCTAAATAAATACAAAATAGGGCTGGGGATATGACTCAATGGTTGAGTGCCCCTGGAATGCAATCTCTTGTACCCTCCTCCCCAGAAAAAGAAGAAATGGCTAACTGGCAAGGGCTTAAGAAGAACAAATGTCAGAGGTGGGCCCAGGTATTTCCTTAGGAGGTCTTAGGGACAGGGGGGCAGAGAAGTGGGTGAGATCATCAGTGTTTCCAAACCTGCCTGATGACAGCACCCACCAGGGGCACTTGGAAAACTATAGAGGTTACCAGGCCTTTCTTGGACGAAATTCAGTGGGGCCTGGGAAGTTTTGAATGAATCCTGGCAATTCTTATATCAGGGAAGTTCTGAAGTTCTGGATTCTAAAAGACTTCTGAGGCCCTGTCAGTCCTAACGCTGTCGTTTTGTCAAAGTCCCAGGGTCTACTGATTGGCCCTGTAACACTTTCAGTCATATGCAGTGACCTTGCAAAAGAAATTGATAGCAATACAGAAATATTAAGTAATCCTATTTCCTCCAGCAAGAATCTTTCAAAACTGTTTCCTCCAATAAAGGCTTACCTTAAGGTTACACATCAACTAATCAATATTTAGCCATTTAATATTTTTAAGAAAATATTTTCTAGTTGTAGGTGGACACAATACCTTTACTTATTTATTTTTATGTGGTGCTGAGGATTGAAGCCAGTGCCTCACACATGCTAGGCAAGCGCTCTACCACTGAGCCACAACCCCAGCCCTTAATTTTTATTACTAGCTAAACTGTAGTGATGTATTGACCTACTCAATGGGGTAAGTATGCCTGTGAGATCAGGAAGATGTTCCAGGGGACATTCCAGTGGCTAAGAGTGGGTGTAGACTTGTGCCTTGAGGGCATTACCTGGCTCTGATTGAAAATGATTCTGCCCCCATCACACAGCTGTGAGCTTTCTGGAGCAGCTGTGACCAGCCTAGGTACAGTGGCCTGGGCCAGCCTGCTCTGGGACTTTGTACAACTAGTACTCATGAA